GATATGTAAAAAATGGTGTTGCAAATACGTGAACTGCTCATGAACCGCGCGAGAAGCTCTGTTCATCCAATGTGCGCTAATGCCTTACCCCGAGCAATGAATTTCTGTTTAATTACAGGCTCAGTCATAAAGATCGTAAAACAAACTTGCATTCAAAGTTTTTGTTTTGTTTTGTTCGTCTCTGCTGTTTCCCACAAGCTTTACTTGGAACCTACAGCTTCCAAGTTTGTCCAAGGATATTTGTTTTATTTCTCGTTCTCCTTTTTACTAATCTTCACATAGAAAGAAAACTATATGCGTATTTTAGAATAAGCGTTCCGAGAAGTTATTTAGTATATCGTTCCTAAAGTGTGCCTTCGGGTCCTGAGGGTACTAAAATAAATAAATACAAAAACGGGAAACACTCTCGATAGACTACACTTGTGACTTGAAGCAGTTTACGGAACATTTACGGTTGACCTTTTTTGCTTTTTCAGAAGAGATCTTGACTAAAGATATGCGCCGCACTAGAACATCATCAAGAAATGAGCGTTGCAAGAGGTCACTGATTAATTAATATTTATTCCACAAATCAATTGAATGTGATTCAGTTTGGATCAAAAGGGAGATTAGGCCTAATTTTACGTTTATTACAGAATCCACACACACACACAAAAAGGAAATCCAGCGCACTGTACCCAGGGCAATTGTTTCATTCATCACTAAGGGACTGTAAGAAATGTCCATAGATACGAAGTATTTTGCAATTTTATAAATAAATTGAGCTGCAAATTTTCATTCTTATGAAAAGAAAATCTAGAAACAGATACTGCAATGATCTGACATAACATTTCTATTTGTGGAACAGTATCCCGCCATAACTTCTTCATGTTAATCCTTATTTCCGCTTTGCCGACGAACCAAATATGATTTTTTTTGTTAATTACACTGTTGTAAACTTTTTGATAGCATTCTTAAAAATACATTTGAACATTCTCTTCACTCATTTTTACACACTTATCAGGATTATATGCGCAATACGCGCAGATAAATGCACGAAACATGTATATATAAAACACAACAACCAACTAAATCCTAAAAAAAAGGCCCTAAGCGTCGAGCGCTACTTGGTTGTTCTTCAGGGGTGATTATGGCTATGACCGTTGAGGAGCAGCATTTTTCCATCTTCTTTCAGCGAAAGTGTGCAGCTCGTTGACATTGACTGTTCGGAAAGCTCCAACTCAACTATGTATGTAACCTGGCGTCATTTGAATGTGTTAGGATTCAATGAAAAGTCTACGAAGGGGATGCTTTCTGCACTGTTGATGGTGCTGAAAGCAATCCGGAGGTCTCTGAAGTCTCAAATCACTGAAAGAAGTTCGAGAAACGCTGCTCCTCAACGGCCGTCGCCATAGTCACCCCTGAAGAAGAGATGAGCACGCCTCAAAGAGTAGGGTCTTTATTTTTAGGACTTGTTTGTTTGTCGTCCTTTATTTATTGTTTTCCCAGCCAGAGAGATTTTTTTGGTAGGTTTACTTTCAGAACAGCTGTATATGCCCAGCATATTATTCAACACTGTGCAGTGAAGAGTTACCGCCTACCTCGCTTGTTACACATTGCTGAATCTCAGATTCACACATTTATTGTATATGAATCCTTTTCTTTTGTGATAACTATTTTTGACCTAATGATTGATTTGATTCGTGTCGACCCCTCGGTCGTGTTGGCTGAAGATAAATTCCTAGATCCTGTCCCAATCTGTGCTCTTGTTGGGTCGTGAGTTCCTGACGACTGGCTCATCGAACCGGTGATCTGCACGTTGACTTTGGAGTCCGGGAAAGTCCCTCGGAGATCTTCAGCTGCGGCAGAGTCATTGGCAGTCAATTGGGAGTGTAATGACATCACTGCACAAGATACAACAAAAGAGGAATAAACACGAAGAAAAGTGATAAAAGAGGAAACAAAGGAAGAGGGTTTGAGAAAAACTTTCTGGGTTGCTCCAGGCGGTGGAGCCAATACATAAAGGGGTTTCAGAGCCAGTAATGGCACTTACGCTCCCATCTCCCCGCCCGTGTCGGTAATTACTCCCTTAATTCATAAACATGTCTCGATCAACCTTATGAACCCGGGCACCACAAAATCTATCGTACGTGCATTACGCGTGCGTTATGATTCAATGCGCTTTGTTGCAGAGAGTTTAGGTGGTTTCGAATGCACTGCATTCAATACAAACGCCTGTGTTCGCCACGTTTATTAGAATCATCGCGTGGTTTAAATTTACTTAGAATTGGAGTATGCCACGACCTTTCTCTAATGCGAAGTTTTCTACGGGCTCCGTTTCTTTATAGGGTGAGTGTAGAGCCTCGGACTTTTTAGTGCTGTTGGATTGCGAGGAAGCCCTTCTAAAAAGTGGTGTAATGGCGAGGGGAGGTGGTTTATTGCACCATTTACGCTATCTACGGAATCTAGTCCGAAGTTGTGTTGTCAAACGCTCGCTGCGCTATTTCTCTGTACGTTGTGATTCACACCGTAATGTTGTGAGCACCCGTATGGAGCTACGCTTCGTCATTCGGGAGTTACCTGAGCGCTCCGACGTTCGGCTGCAGACGTATGAACCCTGAGCTAATTTTGACTAGCCGCCGACGGTCGTCTGCGGACCAAGTATGTCGGACTAGGTATGGCTCACCGTGGAGGGTCGGGTGCTACCGCAGGCGACTCTAGATAATTAGTCAAGCGGCATGCGGGGTTTTTCCCCTCCTCATGGTGTCCTATAAGAAATCATTCATGTACTGCCGAACAAAGACGTTGGATTGCAGATCGCAGAGTCCACGTTTCATTTCCCCCTGTGCCCTCGGTCAATCTCGTTGATTCCAAATAATTGTGCATAGTTGTCATTATGCATACTTTTAAAGTATCATAACTAAGTATAGCTGTCTTTTTGCCTTTGATGCTTCTGCTATGTTTAATGCATATTTTGTGTTGTCTTGGTTGCGTGTAACGTTTTGTCATCATACGCCTGCGTATCACTTTCGCCGGAAATCGAGCCCTTAAATCCATTCTGTGTTAATATTATTGGCAGTAAACTTGAATATGTGGCATTCATCCTAAGCCCCGGACCTCTATCGCTCGTTTCAGAAGTGTAAGCTTACAGAAATCGTTCACCTGACTCGATATTTCGTATTGTCAGTGTACCGCCAGTGCATGAGCATTTAAAAACTGCTTATCTTTCGCTAAACTTTGAAACACAAAAATGTGTTTCGCTTGAATTTATTTTATTAAAGAGTGGCATGCCCCCATTACTAAAATGCTTCTCAGACCATAGAAAGAAAATTGACTTATAATCTTGCTGCAATAATATAATCTGTAAATTCATATCCGAAACACTGTCTCTACCCTGGAACATTTTTCGACACATGTGTCTCCGATCGCTAATATTGAAAGTTTTAAGGATGTCGTGATTAACCTTTACAGCAGCAGTAATCCACCATATTTTATTTTTATATTCTTTGTGCTGCCTATTAAATGCTATACATTTTATAACTCTCTTCTCTTTATAGGGCTGTGATGCCAAAATAATGAAAATAAGAAAATAAAGTAAACCCACGAGAGACACATTGTACGCGAGGTATTCCTGCGACTTTCAGAAGTGCCGCAATGAAAGAGCGGCGGCATTCGACAGGGGGATACACTAGAAACTTACGACGGAAAACACGACGCTTTAATTGCACCAACGACCCTACCTTGCAGCTAGATTTTTAAGAAGCTCGGCAAAATAAGAGTGAGTTTGTGACATGTGCTGTCAGTTCAGGTTCATCTATCGACGTGTTATATTCGATTTATTTATTAATACAAAACTTGAGAATCTCCAAGTTGCGCATATGTAAAGGGTTCTCGGGGTAAAAAATAAACATTGTAATGGCTTTTAATGTTTTTTTTGTTGATAAACTGAGTATCCCGCAGTACCAGTAGTACCTAAACATTTTTTTGTCAAAAGTTCCAAATGTTGGGTTATACAGTGTTCGAGAATGTTATATAAAAATAAGCATCGATGTCGTTTCTTTTGTATATTTCGTTTAATATCGAGGTTTTAAAGTTCCACTTTAAACTTTCTTAATTTTATATGGAAAACAATCCGGGAATTTCCTTTCTTTAATTTTCGGTATCGCGCGTATACGTAATGTAAAATAAAATCTGGAACGGCATCTGTGATTTAAAATAACCCTATTCCGTTCCCGTACACAAATTATGATGTTTTTGATTCATAACATTCACCTTAATATTTCTAAAAGAATTATCCAGAACATCTTATAATATCAGTTCGGCGATATCCTGGAGGTAGCCGTCACATCAGAAAAAATAAATTACTATATTTTAAGCATGGTAGACTTAAAATAAACACTGTAAAAATGTATATATTGTTTGTGAGCAAGGTGTTAGCAAAGTAAAAAATGAAAACAAAATACAACTTTTTGCGGCTCTGTGTTCTAAAGATAAGTTTGTTAACTCAAAATATCGCTCATAAGTACGTTTTATTTCATTGTCTTTATTATAAGAAAAAAAATCGCAGAAGAGCCCTGGCTATAATTTGCTTATGATTAACACCGCAGTAAATAAATATAATGCTTAACTGCTAAAAAAAACTTTAATATTTGGTGGAATATTGAACCCAAACTGGAAACGAATAAAATGTTTTCATAAATGTTAAAATAAAATGTTATATTCTTTACACTGGGACGCATAGTCACTTTAAAGCTAAAGTGAAACATTCACAACCTAGATAAAATAATTTAATCAATCGTACAAAACATTAAAAAAAACATGAAGAGAAAGTTTCGTTAAACAACGTTCGATTGAAAAAGAATACTTTAAGGCGAAACTGAGTTCTCATATTGTTGACGAAACAATCACCGGATTGGACTACATAGCTTATGAAGATGTTCACTCTTAGAGGAAATGACCTTTGATAACCTGCAATTCGCCATAACTCATGACTGTCAAAGCGCGAGACCCACCTGACTCACCGGAGAGCACTACTGTCTCTCTGGAGATGCCCCATTCACTATGGGAGACGCAGGTGTAGTTGCCATAGTGTGCTTCGCCGACGTCTTTGAACGTGACCGTGTAGCTGTTGTTCGAAATAGAGAGTTGAGCGATGCCTCCATTGAGCAGCGGGGTACCGTCGTCTCGAATCCAGCGCGTGTTGCTTGATTTGGAGCTGTATGACGTGCAGACGAGTTTTGCGCTAATGCTTCCATTCAAATGGCTGGTCCATTGAAGAAGTGTCGTTACCTTTGGCTTCCCTGCAATGGGGTGGAGAGGCGTCAGCTTACAACAACAATGGTAGCGATACCAGAAAAGCGAGCTTTACGGTAAGGCTCCCTATTAAACAGAGCATTCAGAGCATGCCCGTTGTCACGATAGACTTTCAAACGATCAATAAGAAAGACGTCTAATCACAGAGCAGGGGCCAAGCGTTTGGAAAGAATTATTAATTCCCTACGATACGAAGATCTAAACTCATGAAGTTGTGGGAGAATGTCAGACGTTCATATCTCCGTGCCTATAAATAATAAATTCCTTGCCGTTTCGAAAGAAAGGTATATGCATTACTTAATATTTGTTTGGTAGACATACCTGAACTTATAATATCGTGTAAATTTTCCATACTTCAATCGTTATAACATTTAACATGTTCGTGCATGTTTCTTTTACCCATATATAGGGTATTTTTAAAACTCTTTTTTTTTTATTGTACGTTTTTTTTTTTTATTTTACGAGCTAGAAACACTGCTTGAGAGCACTAAACACTAATTTTGGGGCCATATACAGAACATATCTATACAATATACGATAAACGGCCCAATACAGTTGAGCTGCCAGAATACAAGTTGTATGTTCGAATGTGCGTACGTGATTCCCAGGCCTATAGGGAATACAAACTGATATTGAACTCTGACACATATTAGTAAAATGTGACGAATATCTGACACCCTTTTCGAGGGAATTGGATTGCTCAACGGGTGACTTGAAACAAAAAAAAGTGCGAACATATAAGACTTTCTTCTGATAGATCTGTAACAAATTTGCCGCTTCTCAAACTAGTAATTAATATATTTGGTAGTCCCCGAAGTTGAAAGCTTTTATGAAACTGTATATTGCTTAGGTGAAGAATGTAAAGAGAAGGGAAGAGTTACCCGTATTAGGGCAATGTAATATCCTGAAGTTCTTTAATTTCGTGACATCCAACAAATTTACTGCAACAGAAATTGTGCTCCACGATTTGGACGTCTGACTACTTATCCTAATTGAGAAGACTGGGCGAAACATGAGTAGGGTTGCACATGCGAGCTTGTATTATGTCGTATTATTACGAATCCGTTGGGGGCGGCAGGGACTGCACAAATCGAGATGTGCCAATGTTTGACGCCAATAGAGGTAGTAACTTACACGAGCCTCATCGAAATACATCAATTCACTTCTCTTGTGATTTTTAAATTTTCCGGAAGACTAGATTTGCTAAACATGTGAAAATAAACCTGCAAGATGATTTCTACTCCAGCTAAAGTGAATTATGGGATATAAAAAGATTCACTTTTTTAAGTCTTTTAAATCTAACCACCTCTCCCGTAATTAAAATCCAACAAAGTTAAGCTCTTCCAACTCACCTGAGAGTTCAACGGTGTCTATAGACATGCCGTACTTATTGTGGGACACACAGCTGTAATTGCCGTAGTCCCGCTCGCTGACGTTCTTGAAAGTGGCCATGTAGTTGTTGCCGACGGTGGAAAGGTAAACAGACTCGTCTTGGAGAAGCCATGTCCCGTCGTCGCGCATCCAGCGAGTGGTGCTTGGAGTGGCGCCTTGTACCAAGCAAACGAGTTCTGCACCGAGGCTTCCGTTCAGACCGCGTGTCCAGTGCACCGTCGTTGTAACCGCTGGTATCCCTGGGATTGGAAGGAGTACTCAGCTTATGAAGGAAATATGAGGCGTTTGGTAACCCTTATATGCCAGACTAATGCTAACATCTACTAGGTGTTTTTTTTAGTTTATAGATTTGTCTGAAAGAAGCCGTGAAATCTACACTAATACAGTTTGTTCTGGTGAGTCCTAAGGCTTGGGGGACATATTGTAGGGGGCTAGTCGTCACAGTAAGTTGAATATTGAACTAGAATTTGCCAAATGACTTTTTAATTAGTAAGAGTAAACATAGAGTTAATATTAGAAACTTGCTGAAAGTTATCAAAAACACAAAATGAATGACTTTTAGCAATACTTTGAACTGGTGTGAAGCGCAGTAGTGCGCTAATGTAACGAATTGTGCCACAGGCACCTTGCTGGTGGGGAAAAAACGTGGGTGATAAGAGACAAAAAAATTGCGCGGGCACGTTATCGCACTGGTAGCCTTTCTCCCTCTGGAAGAGTGGTAACTTTAGAGCTCCACCGTATATTCCACACGATCCAAGTCTTTAAAAAAATCGGCTTGTATACCGATTGCGATGACGCTCAGCAAGTTTCGTATTGGAACCATGTGCTTATTTTCACTAACTAAAAAGCTTACTAAGAAACTCTAGTTATTTGATCGAGATATTGTGATCATTAGCCCATTATAGTATATTCTCCTGGCCATATGACTTCCCTGCACAAGCCGCGATAGTGTATTTTTCATCGCGTTTTTTTAAACAAATATCTTAAGCGTAAAGAAACCCGTATATCAACATTTACGTATAACTCAGAATGCTAAAGCTGGTTTACACACTTGCAATTGCGTACGACTTGAGAGGCTAAAAACCGCTTTTGAGTCTCTTGTGATTGCTTAGTACCGGCTGCGCGGCTGTTCAGCCGGCCGTAAGGGGTCACAAAAGGGTAAACCAGCCTGTAGGTGTTTCTGTAGTTTGGGTTTAATGTATAGACCGTTTTACTGAAAGAGGGCGAGAGAGAAAAGGGGAAAGGGCTACCGGCGCTTTTCCCCTCTCTGATTGTGTAGAAAGAGAGAAAGTCCCGAATGGGAGGCTTCACCGGTGTTGGGTGTCTGCTGTGCCCGAACTTCGTTCGCGCTTTCTTTCCTGTTTTAAACTCGCAGACTTAATTAGAGTCAGAGGCTTCGATGGCAAAAGTCCCGCGGTCATCGGGACACCATTGCTGGGTCATAGGGTGCAGGAATAAAAACAGAAAGCATAGAATACTGTCCGAGGACATATATAGCTTGCAAGAAACCCGGCAAGGCGAGAACGGCTGCAATGTCTTTGAGCTCCATCGCTTTCCACATGACCCCTGTCTCCGGCGGCAGTGGATTGCGTCCGTAAACCGAAAAGGCGTTTCCTCAACGCCATCCTCTCGACTTCGCTCGGAACATTTCGTGAATGGAGCGCGCACCGAACGCTGTACCGCCGATGAACATGGGGTACGCTCGCAATGTGCGTGCGAGTTTTCTCATGATAACTGCTGTTTCAGCTTGTAAAATTTCGTAACTGAATTTATCTTAATAGTGATAATTTGCAGTGCTCACTGACTCGGTTTTATCATCTACAACACTTATTTGAAGGCTCATTTCCGCCGCCGGGTGAGGCTGGAAATTTTTGAAAACGTAGTTCTATTGTTTGTTTTTAATCGCGATCTCCTGCGCGATACCAGAAAGCCGGCAAAAGCGCTCCTTGAAGTGCCGCTGGTGGGTTGTTTCCGTTGACTATGGCGCTTTGGGGCGCTTGATAGTCGCTGCAGGAACGTCTCGTGGGTTGCGATCTGCGTTTTTGAGCCCAGTGTGCACGTTTCTTTATTTGAGTCGTGGCATCCGCCAGTGTGGCGACGGGGGGAACAGCGGCAGCGAACGTGCCAGCGATAGAAATTGGAGGTGAGTACTCAAAATATTGCATCAAATAGTAAAATAATTCGTGGCTGCTTCAAGGCTTTCTGCGGTTCGATAAAAGTACATCTAGAGCGTCTTCGTCGTTCATTCACAAGGAGATATAAGAACAGGGACACGAAGATAAAAACAGCACAGCAGGACGATATGTAGCAGCTCCGGGCGTTTACAAAGTTAACTGAGGTTCCCGTTTCGTGTATCGCTTGTTGATTACAACTAAAAGCGGCTACGTTGAAATAATCCAATCGCAAGCAAAATGTATGAATGGTTCATCATTTCCAGTCATGCGGAAAGCAATGGAGCTTAAAAACATTCCAGCCGTACTTGCCTTGCCGGATTCCATGCAAGCTACATAGGTCCTCGGACAGTATTCGACGCTTTCTGTCGTTATTCGTGCACCCTATCACCCAGCAATGGTGTCCCGATGACCAGGGGACTGTCGCCATCGAAGACCATGGCTCTAATTAAGTTTGGGAGTTTGAAACGTAGAAGAAAGCGCGAACAAAGTTGGGGCACTGCAGACGCCCAACACCGGCCAAGCCTCTCATCCGGGACTTTCACTCTTTCTACACAATCAAAAAGGGGGAAAGCGCCGGTAGCCCTTTCCCCTTTTCTCTCCCGCTCTCAAAATGGCGCTATCCACGATAAAACGTTCTATAGTTAACGCCTTCCATTCACTGTGATTGCAATTATTTACAGTTGCATGGTCAAACATGACCTTAAAGTAACCGAACATTATACTCCGATTGTAGGTTCGTGAGAAAAAAAAAAAAACGGTGTTTCTTTATAGCTCAACCAAGACAAACATTACTTGCGTGGCGGAGTGGGGGCATGTGATCTACAAATTAGGGCCATATAAATCAGTACCGAACACAAAGAAGTAAGAGAAAGAATGATTGTGCCTTGATGAGACGAATTACCTTCGGTCTGATACAGTTAAGAGCACGTGTTCCTATCCTGTTGTACCTAGAATATGGGAGAAATATTAACAAAATACAAGATTGTGGCTGAAGCCTTCATTTAATTAAAAATCAGAGCTCTTATGTAGTGTTCCGATGGATCTTTAGAAATATTAATTGTTTAAGCCATTAAACGAAGAGATTCTTCTAGACTGTGCTTTTTTTTCAAGTGGAAACCCACGCTGTATTGTTGGTACACTAAATAAATAGCTGGGAACACTGATACTGAATGTACAGCTAGCATATCTGCATTTCCTTTCACAATCCGTAGACATTTAGGCACGTTCAATAATTAAATAAACCCAGCCAAATTCTGCGCCTGTTTATTGTTCTAATTCAAACCAAAGACGAAGGAGGTGTAGATCATTCCACTAAGAACACCGAGAAAAGTAAATGCCCTCTCTCCTCTAAACCTGACGTGTCTTCTGCCCCGTAGACTAGGCACTATCGAACATCCGGCTCGCGTGCGAACTTGGTAAGCATTGCGTCATTTGAGTAATATTAGGCGCAACTGGGCGGATATAAATCTGCTAGTTAATATAAAAGGTAATACATAATGAGAAGTCTAACCGGGAACAAGCCGGCTGACACGAATACAAAAAAAGAAAAGGTGAAAACAACTCTCCAAAGAGTGTGGTTCATCATGTCATCTCTGGCGAAAAGTGAATGGGGTTGCAACCGATTTTTTCAAGAGAGAGTTTGTATTGATTTACGCTTCTAAAAACTGTGTGGGCAATCTAGAAAGAAGGATAAAGAGCGTGCTTACCAAAAAAAGCTGCGCATTTTTTTTTTTTTTTTACGATAACGAATTTGTACTAGTTTTATTGCCTGTTAGTCTTGGATACGAAGAGCATATGAGGCTTACATTATCGGAGGTGTTTGTAGTGGTATATTTGTAACCAGAATACCTTTTTGTGATGTTTACGGGTGTTTGGAAAACTACTAATGGGTGCATGATGTACTTCAATCCACTGACGGAAACCCGACACGGGTAGGCGGGAGCGTGGTTTGTGAAAGAGTTGTTTATTGTAATTCATATATCATAAACGTAAATCAGCTAACCTCGTTGTGACGGCGCTTTCTCAGCTAAGAAATATATATCGCATATCGCTGGGAACATGTAAGGAAACCCGCTCTATGTTTTAATGCTCCTGACCCAGAGTGCGAAAAAACAATTACATTTGCATGCAAATGTCATTGTTTTTTTTTTCTTTAGAACTCAAATTTTCGCATTAAGGGTTCGGTTTTCCGTTGATGCAAAAGAGAGACAGCGACTGAGGGCAGTACTGCCGGTGGACGTCATTGCTATTGAGGCAATGGAACAAAGATACGCTGGCTGATAATTAACTAAAAGGAAACACGCTATCAAGCTTTTTTTTTCTTTTTTTTTTTAGAATTCAGATTTGCTCATTAAGGGTTCCGTTTTCCATTGATGCAAGAGACACAGCGATTAAGGGCAGTACCGCCGGTCGACGTCATTGCTATTGAAGCAATGGAACAAAGATACGTTGGCTGATAATTTACCGAAATAAATTAACAGAGAAAAGCGGTCTGATCTTGGAATATCCATAAATGTTCTAGAAACGCGAACCACTTTATAGAAGCAGCGGCGAGCGAGCGTTACGTTGTTCCGTACAGTCAACGTGCAGCCCGAGGGTATACTGCCCAAAAGTTGACAACGGCAGGCTTGTCGTATGCTTTCGGGATCGGGCGCGCTTTTTCCGTCTCTTTTACCCCGCCGAATTCGTCGAAATGCACGGATGCAAGAAACTCGTGCCGCCCTGGGAGCACTTAGTGGAATGGGATATACTTGATGCACGGAGAATGGAATGATGGTGCCTATTTTAGTCGAAGCAATCTAATGTGATAAAATTGCCGCCCAATGCAACTAAATAGAAAAGCCATGGTAATAATCAGGGGTATGATGGCGACGGATAACTGAAGCAGGCGAATAAAATCAAAATAAAAAAAAAATAAAAAATCAATCAAATCAATAAAATAAAATCAATAAAATC